CCGCCAGGGGGCGCTGTCTCAGTGGGCCCCGCTCGGTCCTCCCAGCCGCCAGGGGGCGCTGTCTCAGTGGGCCCCGCTCGGTCCTCCCAGCCGCCAGGGGGCGCTGTGGCGGCGGGCGCGGGCCCGGCTGAGGGCGGGCGGTCCAAGATGGCGCAGACCGTGAGCGTTGGGGAGCTGGGGCTGCCCCAACTGGAGCTGCTCAAGGGGCAGCTGGAGCAGGTCCGGGGGGCTCGGAGGGGGCTGGGGAAGGGGTTTAGGGGAGGTCTGGGGGTCCCGGGGGGAGCGGGGATGGGAGCGGCCTGGGGAGGGTCCTGAGGGGATCGCGGGGGGAGCAGGGCCGGGGGCTCTGAGGGGGCTCCGGGGGGGGACTTGGGGGTCTCAGAGAACCAAGGGAGGGTCCCGAGGCCTGGGGGTCGCAGCTGGGGCAGTTCGGGGGAGGCTGGAGGGGAATTTGGGGGTGTTCGGGGGTGGGGGGCTCGGGTTTGAGCCCCCCGAGCTTGGCCCACGCCCCGATTTCTGGAACCTTCCCCCAAAAAGTTTCCTCCTCATCCCTTCGGGGCCATCCCCAGCCCCTTCCTGCCCTTGTGGGGGTCTCCCCTCGGACCCCTCCCCACAATCCCCAACCCCGGGCGTCTCCCTGTTCAGACCCCTCCCCACAATCCCCAACCCCGGGGGTCTCCCCCTCCCCACAATCCCCAATCCCGTGGGGACCCCTCCCCACAATCCCCAACTCCAGGGGTCTCCCCCTCCCCACAATCCCCAGCCCCGGGGGTCTCCCCCTCCCCACAATCCCCAATCCCGTGGGGACCCCTCCCCACAATCCCCAACCCCGGGGGTCTCCCCGCAGGAGGTGGAGTTCCTGTCCTCGTCCCTGGCCCAGCTCAAGGTGGTGCAGACCAAGTTCGTGGAGGCCAAGGAGTGCCTGAACGTCCTGCACAAAGGCAACGAGGGTGAGAGACCCCCCCCCAAAAAAACCCCAAATCCCAAATTTTGGAACCCCAGAATCCCGGGGGGGTGTCCCCAGATGTTGATACGAGGCTTCAAAACCCCCAGAGAGAGTCCCCAGGTTCACGTGGGGAGCTGCAGATCCTGTGGGATGTCTGTGAGGCCAAATTTGGATTTGGGGAGCCCCAAATCTTCAGGGGAACCCCAAAATCTGGGGGAGGTTCCTCCATTCTGGATGTGTGGGGGGTCCTGAATTATCGGGGAGATTCCCAAATCCAAAGGGAGGGGGTTCAAAAGCTGAGGGGGGTCCCCAAATCTTGATGGGGGTGGGGTCCCCAAACCTAGAGAGACCTTTGGGAGTTCCCCAAATCCTAACGGGGGACCCCAAAACCGGGGGTGGTTCCTAAACCCAAGGGGTCCCCAAATCCAGGGAGACCCTGGGGAGTCCTGGAAGGGGTTTTTGGGGGGGTCCTGAGAGGGTCCTGGGGCTTTCCTGACCCCTCCTTTTTCCACAGGGAAGGATCTCCTGGTGCCTCTCACCAGCTCCGTATCCTTTTCCTGCTCCTGGAATCCCCCCAAAATCCCTCCTGGGGGGGTCTGAGCCCCCCAGCCCCCCCGTGCCCCCCGTTTTCCATGACCCCCCCAGATGTACGTGCCCGGCAAGCTCCAGGACGTGCGGACGGTGCTGGTGGACGTCGGCACCGGTTACTACGTGGAGAAGGTGAGGAGGGGGCTTTTGGGGGGCTTTGGGGGGGCTGGGGACCCCCATTTCCACCTTTCCCATCCCATTCCCCCCGTTCCCACCCCGTTTCCCACCCGTTTTTCCCTCATTTCACCCCCTTTCCCATCCCCGTTTCCTCATTTTCCCATCCCCATTCCCCACCCCATTTTCTCCCCTTCCCACCCCGCTTTCCCCATTTTTCATCGTTCCCACAGAATTTCTCACCCCTTTTTCTCCCTTTCCCACCCTATCTTTCTTAATTTTCCCTTGTTTTCCTTGTTTTCCCCCATTCCCACCCCATTTTTCCCTATTTCCCCCATTCCCACCCCATTTTTCCCCATTCCCACCCCATTTTTCCCCATTTTCCCCCATTTTTCCCCGTTT